CTAGGAAACTTTACCAAAACTGTTTCAAAATAAAAGGGCTGGGAATGCAGCACAATGGTAGAGTAACCCTGGGTTTGAGCCCCAGTACTGCTAAATAAATAGATGAATAAATAGCAGGCAGGCCTTTTTGGTTGTTTTCTTAGCCATATTCATGATCCTTGTGCCTCAGTCTCCTCAGCCACTCCCATCCTGCCTGCTCTTTTAACTTGGCTAAAAAAAATCTTGAGAAGTACAGGCAGAAGGCTGCCTGCAGTTCCATGACTTGCTCAGGGACACACACAGCTCACCTTTGCACCTGTATTATTCCATTTTGGCCTTGCTTGTTGTAGACAAGGGGGAAAAGACCTTACTAGAAACTCTGCCATCCCTGGAATTATTTATAATGTTTTTGGCTGCTTCAACATGGGCTTCCTTCATTTATGCAACAGATTGTTTTTGAGTAGTCCAAGGATTCATTCTACATAATGGCATGCAGCACCAAATACAGCTGCCCCTCCTCAGAGCTCAGAGTCAGAGAGAAGGAACAGGAGAAAAATTAAACCATACAAGTCATTCCTAGGGTGGATTTCCAGAACAGGGAAAATGTTCTGAATCCTATTGCTATACATTCTACTCCACCTTGGTGCCATTTATCATCCAGAGGAACTTTCCGAATTGTTTCTTTATTGTCACAGCTTTCTCTCAAGTAGCCCCTAGAGTTATTTCCTTCTAGCCCTATTCTGGAATAATCCTAGACAAACTTTTTTTTTTTTTGGGGGGGGGTACTGGAGATTGAACTCAGGGGCACTTAACCACTGTGCCACATCCCAAGTCCTTTTTTTGTATTTAATTTAGAGACAGTCGCACAAATTATTTAGTGCCTCGCTAAGGTGCTGAGGCTGGCTGTGAACTTTCTGTCCTATTGCCTTAGCTTCTCAAGTCACTGGGATTACCGGCAGGTGCCACCTTTCCTGTTTTATGCAGCACAGGTCAACACAGTCGATACTGAAGATGTGACTGAAGAACTGTACCCATCATCTTCATGTTCCCTGCTCCCCAGGTGACTCCAGTCCAGTCTTCTCAGCCTAAACCTCCATGCCTACATACTTCTGGGCTGACCACATTGCAAAACAAATGTTCAGTCTGCCCCTAAAACTTGCTTTTCTCTTTTGCAGTGCTAGGGGTCAAACAGGCTAGGCTAGTGCTGAGCCACACCCCAGCCCATGGTTCTTGGCTTGGGAGAGTCTGTCATTTATTTTTTTGAGACAGGGTCTTGCTAACTTGCTGAGGCTGGCCTTAATTTGTAATCCTCCTACCTCAGCCTCTTCTAGGATTACAGGTGTGCACCACCTCACCAGCTTCATGTACTATAATTTATATAGCCATTCCACCTATCAGGGACATATGAGCCATTTCCAATTTTCCCCTATTTGAATACTGCATGTGTACATTTGTTTTGGATTTTCTTTGGGGGGTGGTACTAGAGATTGAACTCAGAGGCACTCAACCACTGAGCCACATCCTTACATCCCCAGCCTTATTTTGTATTTTATTTAGAGACCAGGTCTCATTGAATTGCTTACTGTCTTGTTTTTGCTAAGACTGGCTTTGAATTTGCGAGCCTCTTGACTCAGCCTCCCCAGCCAATGGGATTATAGGTGTGTGCCACTGTGCCCAGCTTGTTTTGGCTTTTGTTGGTGCTAGGGGTTAAATCTAGGGCCTTTTGCATGCTAAGTATACACTTTACCACTGAGTTACACCCCCAGCCCTTTATATTTTGAGACAGGGTCTAACCTCAGGTTGGCCTTGAACTTGAAATTCTGCCACCTAGTCTCCTAAACAGCTGGGATTAAAGGTTTATGACACTGTACCTGGCTATAAACACACATTTTATGTATTAGTTTTTGTAAAATTTGTGTTACAAATCTCAAATACTACTCAGGCCATGAGAAAGAACAGTGCATCCCATTTAGAGACAGGGTCTTGATAAGTTGCTATGGCCTTGCTAAATTGCTGAGGCTGGCTTTGAACTTTTTTTTTTTTTTTTTTAAAGAGAGAGAATTTTAATATTTATTTTTTAGTTCTCGGCGGACACAACATCCCTGTTTGTATGTGGTGCTGAGGATTGAACCCAGGCCGCACGCATGCCAGGCGAGTGCGCTACCGCTTGAGCCACATCCCCAGCCCTGGCTTTGAACTTTTGATCCTCCTGCCTTGGCCTCCAGAGCCACTGTGATTACAGGCATGTGCCACTGCACCCATCACTCCTTTTCTTCACATGCATCTGGAATGTCTGTAGAAATCTTCAACAGGAAGCTGAGGGCTGAGGATATAGAAAGACCAGGGGAACACCCAGCCCAGCAGCCTGCTAGCTACAAGTCCCTGGCAAGTCATTTCCCTCCTTTCTAAGAGTGCACATCAAAAACTTGACTCTTGGGCTGGGATTGTGGCTCAGCGGTAGAGTGCTCACTTAGCACGCCCGGGTTCAATTCTCAGCACCACATAATAAAAAAATAAAAAGGCATTGTATTATTGTGTTGTCCATCTACGAAAAAGATTCTCTCTCTTAAAAAAAAAAAAAAACAAACTTTTATTCAACAAGTTTATTGAAATCTGCTGGGGCCTAGGCACTGTAGAAAACAGATCCACCCAACACAGTCACTCTCAAGAAGCTCACAGTTCAGACATGGGTAACTACAAAACGACACAGCCAACAAGTGCTTGAAACAGGAAGAACCAAAAAAAGGATTAATGTTCAAAACCCTGGGATCAGAGACTAACCATAGAGAGAGCATGGGCCTCCATGGCGGGGGGTAGGCCCAGGAGGTTCCTGCAGCTGTCAGCCACACCCCTGGGTCTCTGGTGCTCACTGCAGGCTGGCCCACTGCAGGGAGGTGTAGGCCACCATACCATTTCCGTGTGGAGAACACAACAGGAGGGTCTTTCTGACGCTGGTTCCAAGGCGGCCGGCAGAGACCAGATCCTGGAGTGGGATGGGGTCATCAGGGGCCCAGCACTGGGCAATGTAGTGAGCATGGAAACGGAGTGGGTCACCTACAGGAGAAAGACAGCCACATAGCAGTTCCAATGGCAGAGAGTGAGGACACATTGGAACAGAAATGGAATCACGTCAGTACTCCCTACAAGTACCTGAAACACATACTCTTGGACCCAACTATTTCACTTCTAAAAATTTTTTTCTTATAAGTACAGAGGCACTGAAATAAACCTACCAAGATGATCAGTTTGTCATTACCTGAAATTACTAATTAGTGGAAACAAACCACAGACTTGAGGTATATCCATGAAACAACACACAGCTGTTAAGACTGAAAGACCCTGAGCATTCCATGTTGGTTATCTCCACCACCTGGCTCCTATCACTCTACCCCAACACAGGAAGCAGCCATGGGGTCTGAAGAGCACAGAAGGGTTTGGAATGAATTATGTCTTGTTTTTAATGTGACCGAGGTTCATTTTATGCAGCAAGTTGAGGGTAAATGCTATTTACAAGCACTAGACAGAAACTTGGCAAGTATAAGGAAAGTAAAAAAACAGTATGTAGTTCTGTGAGTTTCTAAATAAATCATTTTTTTAAAATTGAGGTACTGAAGAAATATATGATATCCACTTAAGCAAACATGATGATACATACTTAATTGTAAAGTGTATTCTTGCCTTCCAATACCTTTACATTTGCACACTAAAAGCAAATATTGATAATCTCACAATTAAAAACAAAAACTTTAACCAGGCCTGTAATCCCAAGTTACTTTCCCATCCCCCATCCCTGTCCAATGACAGACAATGTGGAACATGGTCACTGACTCTGCAGGAGAAAAGGAGGAGAAGAGCAAGTTATCACACTGTGTATAGCAGCATCCTATGTTTTTAAAAAAAAACAAAAAAAAAACAGTGATTGAATATGTCATGGTGTGGCCTGAGAACCAGGACCAGTCAAAGCCATGAGGAACTCAAAAAGACCATACCAATAATTTCTGAGAAGTGACTCCAATCAGCTAAAGGATTTTACAGTAGGATGGAGCAATAAATAAATGGCATAAAATAAAAAGGGCTGCAGTTATAACTCTGGTACAGCACCCCTGGGTTCAATCTCCAGTTAACACACACACCGGCATAGGAGATCCACACAATTTTCCCAAGAGCTAGTTTAATGGGCTGTATTCACACATGCAACTCTGCCATTGCAACAGCAGCAGCATGGCTGCCCGTGAGTCAACAAGTGGGCCAGCGGCTTTGTCATCCAGCTACTTGGGAGGCTGCAGCAGGAAGGCTACAAGTCCAAAACCAGCCTTGGCAATTTAGCAAGATCCTGTCCCAAAATAATTTTTAAAAAGGGGCTGGTGATGCAGCTCAGTGGCAGAATACTAGCCTAGCATTTGGAAGACCCTGGGTTCAATCCCTAGTGTCACAAAATCCTAACAAGAAAATTTAAGAGTTACAGGGTAGAGCACTTGTCTGGCATGTGTGAGGCGCTGGGTTTGATTCTCATCAGCTCAAATAAAAACAAAGGTACATTCACAACTAAAAAATACTTTAGTTTCAAAAATGGTGGGCCAGATTTGACCTCAGGCTATAGTTCCCCTAGATTAGGTGACTCTGGGAAAATAGAATAGGAATTTGAATGGGGCACTCCACAGAAGAGCACATGACGGACACCACAAATCTGCAAGGGAAGGCTATCCACCCAAGGGGACTGGCCTTGCATCTCTAAAATTTAAAGCCCAGTGGTCAGCTGGTTTCAACAAGAACCTAGCCAAAAGCCAGGCACCCTTCGGGCTGTCATGATACCTTAACCAGCTGAGAAAGGAGCATTGAAATGCTTAAGATGTTAACCCCAAAACTGTTTGTCTGGAGGTTTATCATCTTTTAACCTCAAAAAATGTTTAGAAACAAGTCTATAAACATGTAAGGGATTCAAACCTCAGGTCACTTAGGGACAAGAACACACTGCCTATGTGGTATACTGATTATTTAAGACATGCACCCAGACAGAGCCACAGTTTTCAAGGTTATTTAAGTGATATGTATGTGTCGATGTATTTATACAAATACACAACTTACCACAAACACTTTCTACAACAACTGCTGGTCATAAGCATACGTGGACCTACATCAATCTCTGATAACTAATGCTACGTCCCTCTGACAACCACCTGTTATGTGTAACTATTAATTTGGGGGGCTGTTTTTTACTTCTTCAATACGATGAATATTCTTTTTAATTTTTTTGTAGTTGTAGATGGACAGCATGCCTTTATTTTATTCATTTATTTTTATGTGATACTAAGGATTGAACCCAGTGTCTCACATATGCTAGACAAGTGCTCTGCCATTGAGCTACAGCCTCAGCCCCTCAGAATGAATATTCTTAGGTGTTTTGTGCATATTTCTAAATATTTCTGAGTGACTCCCCTGGGTTATAGGAAGTATTTAATAAGTCACTAAATTGTTCTTTTGTGTGTGTGTGTATGTGTGTGTGTGTTGAGGATTAGAACCCAGGGCCTTGTAACGAAACTCTTCTACGGGAACTCCCAAGTGCTCTCTGTCCTGGGGGTTTCAGAGGCTAAGATAAGGAGAGACAAAAAGTAAAAATGCAAAATATTGAGACTGTGAGGAAAAGCCAGCCATCCGGGCTCCCAACCCAGGCTCACCAGGATAGACGAGGAAGTCACCCCCGAACTTGCCAGCAGCACTTAGGAAGAAGCCTCTCTCCCACAAGTCTTTGTAGATCCTGTAGCGCAACTCATGAGCAGGACGGCCAGCATGGGGCCAGTCTTTGGACTGGACGCGCCAGTCCAGAGGCTTAGCCTTAACAGGTCGAGGCCTGGCAGTGGCCAGCTGGACCAGCAGGGCAGATCTGGGCAGGGGGTCTACCCCATCAGAAAGCCCTGGCTGGGGAGAGGAGGAAACTGGAGAGGTGTAGAGAAGTTTTGTGAATCCAAGGGCAAAGTGCTCCCACTCCCAGAGAGACCCAGTCCAAATTCCCAGAGGCTCCCTCTCCTCCTTCCCTGGTCCCTGGACTCCAAACCTGCCTGCTTCCTCCTGCTCCCCCGAAGCCTGGCTATCTCCAGTCTCGTTCCCTTCAGCAACCTGGCTCCCGGGGGCCTGCTGGCTCTCGCAGGACCCCGAATTCTGTTCCAGCTTCTGCTTCTTGGCAGCCTGCCCCTCTGAAATCTTCTCCAGCAGCTCCTGACGCCGGGTCTCACGGGCCTCGGCTGCCAAGGCACTTTGCTCCTGGAAGCTCTGCTCTTGCTGGCGTTTGAAGGATGCCAGAGCCTGCGAGGTAAGCGGAGCTGGAAGCCGCGGACCCAGGCCACCGGGATTCCCGCTCCCTGCACTCTCCCAACCGCCTCCCCAGAACGGGGCTCCCAGGCACCCCGCAGCCAGGCCCCAACACTTACGAGGCCGTGGCGGGCGGGGTCGGGGCGCGGGACGCTGACCAGGGTCACGGCGCCGATCTCGGCCAGGAGCCGCGCCTCTTCGGGCATGAGCAGCAGCGGGAGGCCCAGGCGCGAGTTCTGGCGCGGCCCGCGCGGCAGGGCGCCCACCGTGCGGCCCCCGACTCCCAGGCGCTCCCGCAGCGCCTGCACCGCCTCGGCGCCCCACACCAGGGAGCGGCCGTTCTCCACCTCCACCACCAGCATCCTCCTGCGGGGCGGGAGCGCGGTCACCGTGCGGCCGCGGGGCCGGGAAGGGTGCCCCGGCTCAGGACCCGCTAGGCCGCCTCCAGGCCACGCCCAGCGCCGCTGACAGCAGCGGACCCCAGGGCAGCCCCGGGGCTCCACCCGGCCCTTGGGCTCGGGGTGGCGCCCGCTCAGCCAACGCTGCTGCGTCTGCCATCGCGCCTCGCGCCTCGCGCCACGAAGAAACAGGCCGAGTGCGCCGCCACGTCCCTCCGCAGGGTGACTCTGGCACCGCCCCCTCGCGGAGCGGGCGTCAGGTGTCGCAACCTCCCGCAGCGAGGGGGCCGAGCAGGCCACACCTTCTCCCGGCGCAGGGACCTCGGCTCCTCCCCTCCCGAGGCACCCAGGTTTGGCTCTGCGGCCCTCCCGCTCCCACTCAGACTCCACGGGATCGAACCCCACCCGCTCCCGAAGGAAGGACGTTCGGCGTTCGGGTGTTCTCGGCCGGAACGACTCCACAGCCCCGCGCCACCACGGCGCAGGCGGGCCGCGTTCGGGCCTCCGAGGCTCCCGTCAATCCCACAGCCCGTGGCTCCACCCCCAGCCGCCACGCGCCCCACTTCGGAGAGTTCCCGCCCTACGGCCGAACCCTGCAGCCTCAGGCCCTGCCCCCTGTGCGCCCGCCGTTCGCTCCGCTGGGCGGGCTCACCCCACTTGAGAGCGCTCAGTCAGCGGCTTGCTTTCTCTCAGAGTGTCCCACTGTCCTCCGACAGAACCAGCTAGTGTCCTCGTAAACACCAACTTGGCCGAGGCGGAGCTAGCCCCTACGTAGTGCGCCGCGCAGGGCTTCCTTCAGCTCCTAACACACCGACTGTCTGCGTCACTTTCGTCATCACGCCACGTCAGTGGAGCGGGAAGCCTGGGGGCGGCCCAGTCAGAACTTTGGCCCCGCCCCCTCAGCACTTCAGTCCAGCCCTCAGGGTGCTTCCTTGGTCCCCTGGTATTCTGCAAGATCAGATCTTGGAGCTCTTTACCCTGGCTCCGCCCCTTAGGCACACGGGTCCTCCGAGCCTCGCCCCCCCTGGGCCGTCTTCCTCCCGCCCCTATCTAAGTGAGGCGATTCACCTCCTCTTTCATATTGCCTATGGCCCCGCCTTCTTACCTTAAAGGAAGCTCGATGCTCTGGGAAGCTGTTGGCTCCGCCTGTAATTAAACCAAGGTTACTTAGGTTGTAGGGACAAACGAGGCAAGGCACTGAAGACAGCAGGAAATAGTTTTATTTGGCTGCAGCCAGGTTCAGAGGACACAGCTTTTGCTCTAATCAATCAGTACCCTGAACCCCGAGTTCAGGTAGTTTCAGAGTTTTACACCCAGCATGTCAGGGGAGGGGCTCAGAAGTTCACGGTTTGCAGAAGTTCCCATAAGAGCAGCTTTTTCTTTCACTGTTCCGGGCAAGTTAACCCTCCACGGACCACACCTGAGAAGGGGAGAGCTTCTTCTCCCCTTTCTTTCCTCCCCTGCCAGCTGTTACCATGGAGCCCAGTTGGTAACTCCTCTTATCCTAAAAATGTAGACATCTCTGTGAAGCCCAGCTCCAGGCCAGAGGCCTTATTTGCACATTTTTACAAACTACTATGCTGCATATATTCGTGAAAAACTAGTAAGGGGTGTGCAGCACCTGGAGCGCTGGTATCTTCTCGGCCAGTGGCCAAATAAACAGGGTGACATGAAAATAGGAAGTTTATCTACATTGGCCTCTTTTGCAGAGACTCTTTTACTGACAGTCCTAAAATCAGCCATGGTGAAGATTTCTGGAGAATCCAGTTAAGACTTTTCTGTGGCAAAAGGAGGTGCCATTTGACTTATACCTATTTTCTCCAAGTAAACCAAGGCTTATAGCCCCGCCTGCGTGGGAACTTAGGTACTTGAAGGGTGCCGAGGCGTGTGACCCCGCCCACATCGGAGCAGATCCTTTGCCCCACTGTTTCCGAAGTAAGCCAAGTCTATGGCCCCGCCCACATCCGGTCGCCTTTGAGGCCCGCCTATGTTGGAACAGTGACTTAAGTGCTCAGCAGGCTCTGAAGCGAGTAGCCCGCCTACATCCGAACGCTGCTCACGCATTCGACTATCTCCGTTGGAAGCCGAGGCTGTGGCCCCGCCCCCAAACGGTGGGCTCCAGCTCTCGACAGCACCCGAAGAAATCCGAGGCAGAGGCCCCGCCTCCTCCGGAACTCCGAGCTCCTGGCCCCGCCCACCCGGGCCCCGCGCTGGCTCCTCCCGGCTCCAAGCTCCCGGCCCCTCTTCTCGCAGCCAGTGGTCCTGCCCATTCACGTTCTGGTGCTCGGCGCTCGGGTGTAGCCGGTCCGTCAGGTTGGCTGCTTCTGCCTCGTGCTCCCAGTTTCCTCTCTACCCAGCCTGTCCAGCGTCCGGCTGCCGCACGCCCCAGGCCTGGACCGGGAGGCCCGGCCGGCGCAGCTGGAGCAGGCGGCGCGGGGGCTTGCTCTGCGGGGAGGCGTGGCGGCGGACGCGGGCTGGCACTGCTCGGTCGCCTGCAGCCCCGCGGGCATTTCAGGTGGGCTAGGCTGGGGGGCACCGGGTGGGGACGCTGCGGGTTGGCTAGTGGTGAGGTGTGGGAACCGCGCTGGAGTGCGCCGGGCGCTGTGGCGTAACCGCCTGTAGCTCTACCCGAGCGCCTGGGACGGGCTCGGCTCAGCCCAGCTGCGGACGGGGCCTGAAGACCTGCAGGGTCTGCTCTCGCGGTCTAGGTGGAGGAGAGGTCCGAGATTCAGAAGAGGTGGAGGGCTGGAGGCCCGAGCTTCTCTGGGTGCTGTCGGCGGAGAGGTCGGGCTTCTTGGGTCCTTGAAGGGGGATCTGGAAGGCAGTCCAGAGGGTTCCCGGGCCCTCCAAGGGGGGGATGGGGGGTCTGCATGTACAGGCTCTGAAAGAGAAGGAGTATGGGAGGGGAGCTGTGTCTGTGTTCTCAGAGAAGGGATGTCTTTTATGTCTGAGTCCTAAATGGGGGTGGGGAATAGGTTTGATTTCTGCGTTGGCCCAGGAGAGGGGTGGGGGCTGGATTCCTGGATCCTAGGAGGAGGAGTAGCACAGGCCTGGTTCTTGGATCCCCTCAGAAGAGCTGAAGGCCTGGGCTCTCACCACAAGCCCTTGCCCTCTATCCCTCCCCCAGATCATGTCACCAGAAGAATGGACTTATCTGGTAGTTCTTCTTATCTCCATCCCCATCGGCTTCCTCTTTAAGAAAGCTGGTGAGTCAGGTTCCCTCCCCAGTGGAAAATAAGGGGGACGGGAGGGGGACCCCCTGGAAGGTTCCAGGCTTATGCTGTCCCTTTTCTCTGCAGGGCCTGGGCTGAAGAGATGGGGGGCAGCCGCTGTGGGCCTGGGACTCACCTTGTTCACCTGTGGTCCCCATACTTTGCATTCTTTGATCACCATCCTTGGGACCTGGGCCCTCATTCAGGCCCAGCCCTGGTGAGAACTGGGGGGGTGAGGGCAGGGAGAGTGGGGATGTGGAGGAAGCCACTTGTTTCCTCTTTGGGTCTTTCTCAGCTTCTGCTTCCAGCTCTGGATTTCTCCTCTTTATCTTTTGTTTCTCTGTCATTTGTCTCATCTTTTTCCCCTTTTATCTTGTCCTGCACCTTGTCCTTGTGTGTTTGCCATATCCTTTATGTCCATGTTATGGCTGGACATGCCACCACTCATAGTCATGCATAGCCACCCCCCTTCTTCCCCATCTTGAGCTCTGGATCTTGGTGATGAAGAAAAAATGGAGGACTGAAGGTCTTCACCCTGCAGATTCTCTCAACCCTTCTTCATTCTTCTCCGAGACTGTGCAGTTCCACATGTTGCCTCTTTCATCCCTGCATCCCATTGTCCAGTCCTCTCTCTGTCCTCCCCTTTTGCGTCCCAGTAGGGAAAGGTGGGGGAGGATATGTGGCTAGACTCTGGCAAGAGGAAAACAGAGGCCCAGGTCCCTGCCCACACTGGCTTCTCCTTGCTCCAGCTCCTGCCATGCCCTGGCTCTCGCCTGGACCTTCTCCTATCTCCTGTTCTTCCGAGCCCTCAGCCTGCTGGGCCTGCCCACTCCCACGCCCTTCACCAATGCCGTCCAGCTGCTGTTGACACTGAAGGTCAGACTTGGGGCTGCATTCTCCCTCCAGCTTCCTTACCGGCCATTTAACCTCCCTTGCTTCACCTCCTCCTCCCATCCATGCCAGTGGGGGTGGGGGGTGGGATTTTATTTCATCCAAACCCCCAGAGTAGGACTTTATCTCTCCCTAGTGATAGGGTTCCCTTTCATATACGCCCCAGCAGTTCTTCACTTCTCCACTGTTCTGGGGTAAGGAAATGGCCCAAGTGCATCAGCAGGAGGAGCGATTAGGCACTTGGAGTGAGCCTGTCCAGCGTGCTTTGCCAGCAGAGTCTCTGTAGCAAGCCGTGTTGCAAAGGAAGGATTCCAGCTCTGGGGAGGAGGTACCTGGCCCAAGGGCACAAAACTGGGTTAGCCATTCTGACTCTTAACCACCTGGGCAAGTGGACAAAAGCAAGACTACCAGGCCCTACCTCAGGCCTGTGAAACCCTGGGAACCAAGTAGTAGCGAATTTCACTTTGGAGGTGTTAAATTTGAGATGCCTAGGAGACATCAAAGTGTAAATGGCAATAGGCAAATTACTGGAGAGGTCCAGGGTAGGGGTTGAATTTGGGTGTCATTAGCATGTGGACAATACTTAAAGCATGGATTCAAATGAACCATAGAGAAAGAAGAGGAGGCCCAAGATGGAGCCGTGGGGATCACTGCCAACTGGAGGTGTTTCCCACCTCTCATGCACAGAGCTGCTGGTGGCGGGGACCTCAGCCCACTGTAACCCCCCAGCCTACCTTGCTGCTGAGAGTGGCAGCTTAAGGGAAATGGATGTGAGGAGAGCTCAGCTGCTTGTTCCCTTTCCCTAGCTGGTGAGTCTGGCCAGTGAGGTCCAGGACCTGCACCTGGCCCAGAGGAAGGAAATGGCCTCCGGCTTCAGCAAGGGGTCCACCCTGGGGCTGCTACCCGATGTGCCCTCCTTGATGGAGACGCTCAGCTACAGCTACTGCTATGTGGGAATCATGACAGGTGAGTGGGCCTACCCTGCACATTTGCCTGTCCACCGCGGTCACCCGATGTTCCTCTCTCCACCCAGAGTTTATTGTCTCTTCTGTGGCTCCATCTGTGTCTGACTCTCACATAAGACCAGAGCTCTTATAGGTAGATGCTAATGGTTCTGAGCCTGCAGGATTCCCTATTTTCCTCCTATGATTTATTGAGCTAACAGAGATCAAGGGGTTAGGCCTCTTGAAACCTCATGTTCCTTTTTTTGAGAATGTATTTTGCTAAATTGCCTGGAAAGGCATCAGACTTTCCAGCCTCCTGCCTCAGTCTCCTGATCAGTTGGGATTGATCACCCCTGATGTTTCCTGCATTCAGGGGACACATATTCAGAGCTTAGAGCCATTTTCAGTTTCAGAAAGCGTTTCTTATGAATGTTTTCCCAGTTTAGGGTTAGTGAGCTTTTGTTCACACGTTCACCCACTTGAAGCACACAACTCATGGACTGTTGGTGCAGCCATGGAGTTGTGCACTGCCACCACTGCTGAACAGTTTCCTCGTCCCCCAAAAGACACCTTTAGTCATCCACCCATCCATCCATTTCTGCATGCTACTAATTGACCTCTGTTTCTATAGATGTGCCTGTTCTGGACATTTCTTGTAAATGGAATCATAACACGTGATCTTCTGTGAACACACAGGTTTTCCACACCTGCCCTTTCTGTTAGTCCCACTGCTGCTCCCGAGGCTGCCACCGTCACATCTGAAGAGCCACAACTGTCTCCATTTTCCTTTACTGC